CTCCGGATTGTCTTCTTCATCTGCAAATATCGCGTTTTCCCCATTTTCAGCCTCCTGTGCTGACTTGCACGCTTACCCATCTATTATTCATTTTACCCAGTTTTCTTTTTCGTCCCTTGGCAGACGAAAGGGCGTAACTCTCTACCGGCCCGCCGATTCCCCGGGATCGGAATAAAATAACGCTTATGTTGTTGTTGTTGTTGTTGATAGTATCGAGGGTCACTGATGAGGAGTGGAATTCTTCGAAACTAGTCTGGCTCACAGACACACCCACAATGAAAGAATAGACAATTCCAAGCTTTTACTTGTTGTTAAACAAATGTTTAAACAACCCTGTTAATTCAAATAAGCGAATATCTGATTTGTGTGTTTATTGTTCAACATAGGTTCGCATTAACTGAGCGAATATCTGATTTGTGTGTTTATTTTTGAACATATGTTCATATTAACTGAGCCAATATCTGATTTGTGTGTTTATTTTTCAAGAATTGTTCATTTTAACTGTTTCGGTTTGGTTTTTTATCATTGTTTACTATATAACACTTATAAAGTCATTGGACCCATGTTGGAGTCAAATTAACGTCACATCTTGTAACACATATCGAGGAAAAGGGTATTGTCACTGTCGGAATTCTATAGAACATGCGCAGTTTCTGTGTATGTCATCAGGCCACCTAAAATATTAAAAGTCAAGTTTTAAAAATATTGCTTTATTTCATAGATATTTTTTTTATTTTCATTTCCGTAATTTCGGTATAACTATGTTGTTGATTAATAATTTTTATATCTTCAGTTTTTGTCGTTTTATAAGTTTGAGGTTTTACAGAACTTAATGCTCACTTGTATGAGTTTCAATAAAATTAATTATTTTTATTACTGTGCCTCCTAGGAACACAGCTCTCCATATTGCCACATTTGGCGGTAGATCGGACATTGTAGAAATTCTAATCGAAAACGGAGCAGAGGTAAGTCAGGGATTATATTATTTTGTGTTGTGTCGTTATCATAGATACGGTTTTGATATTGCATTCTTGTATTCCTTCACTCAAACCTACGAAAATGCTATCTTTTGAACTTATAGACAATAAAGCATAAGCAGCTAATCAATCAACAACACCCACCGCCAACTTTTGTGCTACTCTAATCGACTAATGGGATTTAACCGTCAATTTTTTAACGCACCCACAGCCACAAAATGCGGATCGTGATTTTGCATCAACGGCATGCGAATCGCGAATATTCGGATTCACATTACGGCACGCTAACCAGAGGCCACACCCAGCCCTTTCAAAGCGTAATTTACGTTCCATCAATATATCCTGTATACACTATTAAGCTTATATTACATAATATTAATTTCAATTTTATTCTAACATGCATCATATAAATTGTAAATAAGATGTGCTAGTCTCTAACTGTTCTGTTAATTATTAAAACTAATTTTTTGTAGGCTTATGTTAAGACGTAAATTAGAACACATTTAAAATCTTGCTATGGACAACGAATATTTTCACTAAAAGCATCAAACATTTGATGATCGTTAGATAATTGAAGGTTTGTTTGTTTGTAGTTTAAGCACAAAGCCACACAATGGGGCTAACTAATTAAAGGCCATCACAGTTATACATCCCTTCTAATGTGTGTGTTTAACAGTTACCTTTATTATTTGAACAGAAAATTGTTTCAGATTTCTCCATTCCGAGTTTCTCAAATGTCTTTTTTTACTTCTTTTTCTAAACATTCTTTTCATCGTTAATCAAATTATTATGAAATAGTATGGATACCCGTTTGATTCTCAAGCTGTTCAAGGTATGCAAAAGTTGACCTGTTATGTTGTGTAATAAACTTGTGTACACGTGACTTATGCCTTTTTAATCAGACGGGGATCTTTTTTAATTATGTTGCGTACTGTTGCCAGTGGCGGTTTTTGTCACTGATCTTTGTGTTCGTGAATTATCACCTTTTACAAGACGCTTCACTTTGCTTCCGCGACTGGGATGCGAGCTTTTCCAGGTCTCTTTCTAGATGATCCTGACTCCTCAAGTTGATCAATATTCCTTTGTTTCATATATCATTATTTCTAGTAAATATAACGACCTTATTCGGAAAGAATGTTTTAACATGCCTTAGTCCTTATTTTCTTAATGCCAGTGTTGTGTTTCAAGAATTTTTAATTTCCTTGAAACAGTACTTAAAGCGAACAAAAATCATGATAACATATTATGTTTTTACATTCACTTCTGATTATACTGAAACTTCTGTTAGGCTTATGTTGCGCTTTCGTGATATTCAGTATATGCTACACTTTATGGAACTCTAGTAACAATTGTAGCAGATATTCAAGGCTGCTGTTTCTATAACACAAGTAAAAAATTGTGTTAACATAATTTCCGGACACACACCGTATATGACATAATAAAGGACCTAAGTGAATTCTGTTTAATCTAACTATATTTGATATATGAGACGTTGTAATACCGGTCAATCATAAGTCCGTGAACATGCTTCGTGTGGACAACGCATTTTAGGGAGTACAAACGGATGAAATAATTCAGTATAGATTTATAAAACACACAAACATACTCATTAAGATGATGTCGAAATTCGTTTCATGGTTCCTACTAAATCTTTATCTTGTTTTGAAAGAAATGTTTGATGTCAGAAAGGATCAACTATACATTTTTGATTTTAGAATAAGTTTTTGATGTTTGACGGGAGCTGGTACGGTTTTTTGTTTGATAGAATGCACTTTTGCAATTTCCAAACATTGACTCCATTTTCTTAAAGTTTATACTGGCGTTTTCTTCCAAGAATGGCGAAAAGAACACATGATTTAGAAGTTGTTGGTTGATCGCCAGAATTTCATAACATTTGATATGCATTGAGTTAATTAACTTTTGTTACGTTCCATGCAGACAATAGCATAGATTCTTGTTTCCTCGAACGTTTTCATCTGAATTTCACATGAAACCAATGTTAACATCGAAATTAAACTTTGGTTTTGTACTAGTTCTAATGGATACATTAGTTCTGTTTTCTTCAACAAAAGAAAAGGTTTACAATAATTTCCAAACTTGGATTACTTTCAGCTGGATACTGTTAACCAGGATAAGAACACCCCGACTCATGTCGCCTGTCAAAACTGTACAGATGGAAATAAGTTCGTTCTACTGAAATTATTGAGGGTATGAGACGATATATTTCGATTTTCAGTTTGTTTCCTCAAAAACAAAACCATCATTGTTACGATCGTTAATCGTAAACGTTTTTGTTGAAATATTTACAGCATTTAATTTTGATGTTGATTTTTATTAATATTCTTAGTCATGAACTTCATGCGACCTTGTTCAGTTGAACTCTGCGTAACTTAGAGTTTGTTTTTGAAGGATATCTATACATGTGCAACCATGTTTTAGAGATTCTTGAATCGTCAGGTCTATTCACAAATAAATATTTTAAAAATGGCATGTACAATTCATTATTATTCTGGTAATATTAACAAAAGTTAGACTCGAGTTAAAAATCTCGCCAGTATTTTAAAGGTGGTAAATAATAGGACAAAAAGAAAACTTACATATTGGTCTTTGGTAGAGCTGAACTTAACATTCATCTTACATAACGACTGGCTGTATTTTTGTACATTGTTTAGGCTATTCCCGATGTTCTACTTGAGAACAAAGAAGGACAAACACCCTTTGACTTGGCAGCTCAGTACAGCAGAATTGGTGAGGTTTCTCTCTACAGCTTATTTGTGTATGTGTTTCTGGTCCAAACTCTCTACATTTTAGTTTTGTTTTACAGTTACTCCACTTCCTAAACATTACAACAGTGACAATGAACAATATTGTTAGAGATTTTCAAACTTTGTTTACGACCAAAAACAGCAAAGATAGAACAACATATGACAGAACGAATTCTAATCATTACAAGTTAATATTTAGTTCGGATCTATTTAGATAGTTTGCATTGACCAAGGGTTAATATTAATGTTTGTAATATTTCTTCACCCTTGTAGCTGTAGCACCTGTATGTGAATATATTTAAAATGTATTGAAGGAACAAAATTATAATTGGTAATTTGAAGTTAAATCTAGAGCCATACAGCATCTGTAGACTCGATATACTCGTAACAGTCTGCTAACAGCCATACAGCATCTGTAGACTCAATATACTCGTAACAGTCTGCTAACAGCCATACAGCATCTGTGGACTCAATATACTCGTAACTGTCTCCTAACAGCCATACAGCATTTGTAGACTCGATATACTCGTAACTGTCTCCTAACAGCCATACAGCATCTGTAGACTCAATATACTCGTAACTGTCTCCTAACAGCCATACAGCATCTGTAGACTCGATATACTCGTAACTGTCTCTAACAGCCATACAGCATTTGTAGACTCGATATACTCGTAACTGTCTCCTAACAGCCATACAGCATCTGTAGACTCAATATGCTCGTAACTGTCTCCTAACAACCATGTAAAATAATCTGGTTCAATTCACTCGCAGATGTGTCATAACAACCATACAGCATCTGTTGACTCAATACACTCGCAGATAACAGCCATACAGCATCTGTAGACTCAATATACTCGTAACAGTCTGCTAACAGCCATACAGCATCTGTGGACTCAATATACTCGTAACTGTCTCCTAACAGCCATACAGCATTTGTAGACTCGATATACTCGTAACTGTCTCCTAACAGCCATACGACTCAATGCACTCGCAGACGTGTCATAACAACCATACAGCATCTGTTGACTCAATACGCTCGCAGACGTGTCATAACAACCATATAGCATCTGTTGACTCAATGACACTCGCAGACGTGTCATAACAACCATACAGCATCTGTTGACTCAATACACTCGCAGACGTGTCATA